CGAAAATCTATTCGTCAGAGTTCAATGACCATAGATTGACAAATCAGAACAAAAGGAGTGCTTTGTTCCGATTAGGCCCTGCGCACAATAGGGAAAATATTAAAAATAGAATAAAAATATTAAATTATCAGGAGGAGCAATTTGGAATTATTTTACTTCAAACAAGGGAACGGAATGGATTAATGCATAACGAAATAAAAAAATTAAAATTAGAAATAATTAATCCATTCCGTTTCCTTGTTTGAAGTAAAATAATTCCAAATTGCTCCTCCTGATATTTAATATTTTATTCATATTCCTAATATTTCTTCTATTGTGCGCAAGGCCTTACGAGATCAAGTATTATCCTATTTGAGTAGATTTTTTAACGCAACTCGAGGGCAGGAGCCGAACGACGACGGAAACGGCCGAGATCGGCCGATAAAATATCGCGTACGTGATTGGTCTAGTTACACCGATATACTTTAATACGTACTAAATACTACCTCGACCAATCATAGTCATTCCTTTAAAGAATGGAACGGCTGTGATTGAACGGTATAGTATTTAGTACTAAAGTATTAAAGTATATCGGTGTAAACTAGAGGGCATTGACATGTAGAATGGACTGCGCATACCACGTGAAAATCGGTCCGCTTCACAGAGATAGGGTTACGTGCAATTTTGAAAAATTTTGACAGGTGTATATGAACGTGATGTTTTTTACCAGTTAGTAGCGTACTAGCACACGATGTGACAAAGGCGATTTAACGGATATTTCTCTTCAATATTTTCGGCAGATCTGTAAAAAAATGTCTCTCGAGATTGTGTCTAATATATTAAAGTTACTTTGCATGCGGGACTGTATCGGTTGTCGCGTATTTCTCTGCGATATTTCCAGCGGCAAATCTATACAAGAATGTACCGCGGGGACACTTCCCGATCGCGCGGGAAATTGTGTCTGCCATATTGAAGTTAACCCAGTAAGCAATTCGATAACAAAATGTTGCCAAATTGGCATCAAATTCGCTCAAAACTTGGTAACAAATCTATATGCGAGTGCGTTGCATATTTCTCTTTGATACATTCTGCGAATCTGTGAAAAGAATATATCGCGAAAGCGCAATCAGCCGCTTTCGCTGGTTCCGATAGCGTATGAAATTGTGTCCGCCATATTGAAATTGTATTCGCCCGCGAATGTGTCATATGTCAGTCGTGGCGCGGTACCAGCTGATCTGTAAGAAAATGTATCGCGAAGGCACAGTCGACCGCTTGTGTCAGTCTCGATCGTATGTAATATTGTGTTCGCTATATTAAAGTTGGATTCGCGTGGGAATGTGTCAGTCGTCGCGATTTATTTCTTCCGATAAAAGGTATTTATCATTTACTTGCTAATATTTATATTTTTTAGATACATGTGTGTATGTGAATTTTTTTTTTTTTTTTTTAGGAAAGAAAATTATGTATATTTATTATATCTTCATAAAAGAGAAACAAATTAACTTCAAGCGCAATTTTCCGAAGTACTGTATATATGTCATCTCGTTGAAACAACGACACACCTTTATTGATGTCAACGCGTATTAATTGTGAGACGACACTTGATGAAGTAAACCAATTAGCAATGACCGATGACGCTATTTACGTTAAGGCCAAGGTTTGCCCTTTTGTTCTAAGGGATCGATCGACAGAGTTGGTTTTCCTACCATTTTGGATTATACTAATTAACTTACTCGACGAGAGTCTTCGGTGGAATGTACACACAAAATTCCATCTCATGACTACGGGAAGATAGATTATTCAAAATTTCCGTTATCGTGCATAACGCAATTAGAATATTGTCTCGCTTTGTAACAAAGCATTTTTCTCACCATGAAAACACCGGTAACGTGTATGGAGATTCATTACAGAATACCGAATTTGCGTATAATATAAGCACTTAAAGGCTAAAAGGATTATGTTGAACTGTCGAGCGTCTTTGTCTCTTTATCGTCAAAGGAAGAGAAGCCGGCGTTTTCCGTAAATTAAGTGAAGGGCAAAGCGAGCAAAATATCGCGTATTTAACGGCACAAAGTAGGGCACAAGGAATAGGGTTGAGCCGAGCTTGTAGATACTTGACTTTAAGATAGAGTTCCACTTCCGTTAGAAACTTTAATTGCAATCTGTAATATAAAGCGATGTATATATATAAATATTATAATATACACTATAAAGATAGTGTTCTCTTTATATTTATGTAAACGTTTTCAGAGACGCAAAACTGGGGAATACATACATAAGCATTCCATACATTCTCTCTGTTATGTCTTTCACAGACTGCAATATTTAATTAAATGCAAATGGCACTCACGTACGCGCCATTTTCTCTATTTTCATATGTTCACGTCGCAAATTTATTTCGTAATTAATTATGATATTTACGGTGAAAAATATTTCCGGATTTTAAATCTCAAAAACATTGTTTCTAAAGAAAAATTTATCAAAGAATTTGGTGTTAAAATTGAATTTGACAAATTCGGACACCCGCAATAATAAAATGAAGAACAATAAATTAACTTTTTCTAAAAAAGGTCAAAAGCTATCAAATAATTAGCCTTTTTTTATTATAAAAATCAAACAAACCTATTGCACATAAATCAAATGGAAGTATTAAAAACGGAAGAGAGGCGTATTTTAAGGTAATCTAAACGTTCTGAATCGATTTTTCGCTTGAAAAATATTCTCGATAGTTCCGTGCGATCTCACTTTGAGTTTATTTAGAAAGCCATGGATAATCCCCGTGACGGTATAATTGATTTTCGAAGCGCTGTCTTGGCACTATAGGGCTTTCTCCTTAATTGTTTGATCATTCACGCTATTAACTTTATCATCATTCTAGCTCGGCAAATTGCGCCTCTATGTTAATTTAATATGAACACGTGCGCCGTTAATCGACATGTGTGGAATGTTTTCATTGCCGGTGCCCGAAAGTTCCGCGGAACATCCCTCTCGAGTGTTTGCGGCACTCGAACACCTCTCGAGACTCTCGTGATCGCAATACGCGCTGATCTATTTCAATAGCGATCGAAAAGCACGTGACTGTCGACCGATAAGACGTAAAAAAAGCACACGCGCGAGAGTAGTTATACGAATTTTTTTCGCAAATATGACTCTGCTAAGCTTTCATGTTATCACAGACAGCAAAAATTTAATATTTTAAAGAAGAGATATTACTTGAAATAAAAAAAGAAATCACTCATATATATCATCCTAGACATCTCTAGATAAAAATTTAAGTTATGTTATGTTTATCATATTACGAAACAACAGTCGGCAAAAAATTTAATTCGATTTAACGTGATTTCAGATGTATGTACGCACAATTTGTGATCTTCGAGCTCACATGCTGTTCGGATCAGTCAGATAAATTTGATTCTATCAAACCTATCAAATTCGACATAATGGTTAACAGTATTATGTCATAGAGATAACCGTTCGGGGACGGATATGTAACGGATAATGCGATGTTTGTGTAGCGTATCCTTGCCGTTTAAATTCGCTCGCAATGCGGAATAAAAAGCCATAATCGACGAATATCTCTTGCACGTGATCGTTATTCACTACGATATACTTTAAATCGACCTTTGATGATCCTTGATAACCTCGGATTAATGTACTATATAAAGTTAGTTTGCATTCACATGCATGTGTGCTTAATCGATATTGCTCATAAATTCGCGAACTTTAACAATTACGGCTGAATGTTAATTCGGTAAATTATTCACAATTAATGCCAAATTCTCAAAAACTGCGATATGTATCCTTTATTTTGTTGCATAAAAAACAATTATATATCAAATTATAATACAAACTTTTTAACAAAATTTAGCTTAAATAGAAATCACTTACAAATCAATATTTCTTCTTGATTTTATCGCGATATCTACTCCAGTTCCTTAGTTTATTTATTCTCAATTATCTTATATCTATTACGTAGATCTAATTAGTATATCAGCAAGCAGGGTATAATCTTATAATGGACCCTTCGATATCTTTATCGGTTCGTTCGTTGAAATTTCGCGAAATTCCGTGGTTCTTGTCTTCGGTTGCTGATCGATCGCCATTAATGATTATCTTATCCGGATAATAGACTGGAGGGTGCAGTATCGTGGAAGAAGAAAAAGTGTTGTCTGACCTACTAATACACGATATACGGCTAATTAAATGACAAATAAGGGCGCGTCAGGCTTTATTCTGGCTATCGTCGCCAATTCGAGATTTCGTTGATTATCTTTCGTTCGACTCTTCATCAGACCAAGCTTTAAATTATTTTAAATTATTTTCCTAATAAATCCTTTCGCGCGCTTATGTACTCATAAAATAATGAATAACATGATTGTTTGTTACGTAAACGATTTAAATGTTCTCTGCATTTTTGCAGTAAGTTTTTACAATATTAATTCATTGTGGTAACATACAGAGAAAGAGAATTAATAACAGCTTCTGTTTATATTTTATTGGGAAACTTGCGTACGTCATAACAAATATTATTGATGCTGTGCGGTTAAATTAATGCTTATTGGTAAAAACATCGATGTGTGAAAGATCACTTTTGTATCGAGTCAATATTTATAACCAATCTGACAAACGAGATCCTTTCATCAAAAGTTCAATAATTCCCCGCAATATATCGAATTATGTATGATAAATAATAACAGCTGATTTTATCTCGTTTATATTACACAAAAGGCCAAAGCCGCGTGAAAACGTTCTTTTTTTATGACGGAAAAATAATCGATGTATTTTCTACCGTGTAAACTCATTACAACAGTCGTGTACTACATGATACAATAATTAACTAAAATTAATAATAATAAAACAATCATCCCGGAATTATTGAAATTATTGACTTTGCGCGCGAATATGGTAGCAATAACTATAAAGTGATTATGAAAAGGAAAACAGCGTGTTTCCCCGTTATATTGGGAATAAGGGGGATATATATATATAATGATTAATTAATAATGCGCGATATGTTTCAGAACGAATCATTTTGATAGTCGGAAGAAACGCCGCTGCGAGAAGAGAACGCACGGACAGTAATCCAAGAAGCCGCCATGGAGACGCACGTAAGTAATACTAATTATATATTAAATATTTAATATAACAAATATTAAATATTTGTGCAATATAACTGCACATTAATTGTAATATTTGCATTTTATAGAATAATTTTGACATTTATGGATTTTGTCTTCGTCTTCTGCCTCTAAGGCGATATTTATCTTTTTAAGCTGAAAGCAAGAAAACATAATAAATTATTTTATTGCAAATTTATTAAAGCACATAATTTAATTTTGAATACTTTTCTGGTTTTAATACAATTGATGTAATACAGCATGAATCTATTTTAAGAAAATACAAAAAGCCAATAAAAATATAATATTAAATATATTTCTTCTTTCTTTGTTTTAAACTCTTTTACATTCTTATTTTTTCACTTTTATTCTAATATTCTCATATTTGTTATTAAATTATAAACTAGAAAAATAAACATTTCATAAATTTCGCTGTACGTCAGTAGTATTAATGACGAATCAAACGCCAATAAATAAATTACGATATTGCGTTTCGTTTCGCATCACTTGGAGGAAATTTGCGATCGCGTATTTCGAAATTGACGTTTTCAAAACAAATAACAGTTGATTCACTCGTTGTTTCGTAACTCTCTTAGCTCTTTTGGTCATAACAGCAACAATAATCGTGCGTATTTTAAATAATTTTTCAGATAAGACGATCTCAAGAATTCTTATAAAATAGTAAAAACGAAATAAATAAAAACTAGCATAGCCATACAAAAAAGGCAGCGACGATTTTTACTCGTAACGATTTTTATTTAATTTGCTTCTCTAATCAAGCAAATAACGTTGATTGTCATAATAATACGCCAAATGCAAACATAAGCCAGATACGTGTTCTACGCCAGTCGACCTTTCAGTTTGTCAATGTCGACGAAAGAGGATCTCGAGATGTTACAATTTACATGCATCTGCATCACCGGACTATTTACTGGAGAGATACTTCTCCCAGAATATCTATAAATCTTCGCGGAAAGATAATATTCTCTAAATAAACTGAAAGCTCAATTGCAGGCTATTAAAGTAAAAGAGCTGGCCGATGTTTTTCTTGGCGTGTGCATTAAAAAATACCAAAAGGGTCAACCGGATCGATATATGCAGACGCGAGTTTTTAATGGCCTTTCACGCAAACTACGTAATTTTCTAGAATTTTTTTACCGCGATAGAAACTCTGAAATCTTTCGAATACAACTTGTGAATTATTGAGGTGAAACTTAAAAGAAATCGCGTGCAGCTCATAAGATTTTTTTTTTATAATACTTATAAGATTACTTATACTACTTTTTTCTTTCCTGTTGTTATCCTCTCTTTTGAGTTTGGTTTTAAAATAATTTCTCATTGCATCATGTTTTAATAAATAATTCTATGTGCTTTATTTATTTCAAATCTTTATTCGATTTTTGCACTTTTCAAACAAATTCAGAATTTACTTGAAAAACTTAAAAAAAAACTAATTTTATAATGCTGATTTTAATAATAAGAATAAAATATATATGACTTTAATATATTCATATTATTTAAAAAAGTAAATTTAAGTCTTGATTTGTTTAGTAAAAAATAATTTATATATATGATGTCTGAAATATAATATCAAATATTTAAAATATATATTGTTGAATACATTGAGAAAAATCTTAATACAAGAATCTTTGAAATCGTTTTTTCTTCGAAATAAATTATTCCGCTCGTACATAACGTTTTGTAAAGAAGTTGTAAAGAATTTCTTAGAGGGAATTATTTATAAATTTTCTTGTAAGAAAATAATTTTGCTGTAGTCTGATAAGATTGCTTGATCATCGAGATTACAATCACAGTTACCTCTTTATTCTATGAAAGCATCATTATGCAATTCATGGCGAAAAGCACAAAGCAAAGAAAGCTTCAAGTAGTTTGTGTCGTAACAATTATGCTATTTTCAAGCTTATTGCACTTTCATGGCAACTCACTCTTTTGTTCGGCGAAGTCACAATTGCATTAGTGCGATATTGTTTGCAGTTGACATTTTATTAATGTCACATTAGAATTAATATCACTTTAACGATGATCATGATATATTACACAATATTACTGATCAAAGAAACCTCAGCTTTAATATTGATACAAATTTATTTAATTATTTATTGTGTATTTACACAAAACTAAAAACAGTGATCACATTTTTTTTATAAAGTATTTAAATTAATAAGTAATAATATTTTATATTCTCGCGCTTGTCTCTTCAGAAAATACTCAAATTCTGTAAGTTTTTTTTATCTTTGAATCTTTATTTCGCGGATATCACTTTGGGATAAGAAGATCAAGAATCTTTTCAAAGACCGTTTTTGAAACGCAATGCTTGATCGTACTAATATTTTATTATCGACAGCTTATTACGCGATATTCGCTTCTAATAATATCCACGTGCTTTCGACGCAAACGCAAATCCCCAACGAGCTTTTTTCAAGCTTCATCCAACGTATTTTTTTGCACGCGGCTACGTAATGAATATAACGGGATTTTTTGTTTTGCTCGCGGATGAGAGTTTACGTGAAAGCTTTGCATGGATCATACAACTGCTAACTATCATTTAGAACGATAACTGTAAAAGGCAGCACGCGTCCTATATGTCTATTCCCGCACGTGGATTCCCACATAAAAACAAACATTCACTTCAAACACGTTTAAAATGCTCTTTATTATATTCACAAAAGTCTGCGCTTTTCAGTCCAAGTCAAAGCGAAATTTCATACCGCAAAGGATTGTTGATTTTGTGACAACGAAGACTTCCCCGACACTTTTGCCGTGAAAAAAATTGCCTTTGAGAGAACCGTGCACTGATTTCATATCACATGAGTTATCCCTACATGTATTGGAAAAATGGAGCGATGCTCAGATTGAGAATTATTGAGTGACTCATCTCTCCTAAGTTTTTAATGCGTACAAATAAATAATCCGGCTGCCACCTCTTTTCTCGATAAGCTTTTATACCTAAGGCAGATGATATCGTTAATTATATTTTATATCATATGTACATTGATAGTCGTCATTTATTCGCACGTGCATTAAAGTTAAGAGAATGGATCGTGTAACTCTGTGTCACTCATTGTCAGTATACTTGCTTTTCCCAAGGGTTTGGGGACGCTTTGCATATAATGTACAACGTGTACAGTTTGTTGTATTTTATACAAACTGTTACTGAGAAAATGCTGCGTAGGTATATATTATAGAGATATCTTTGCGCGATATATTACAAAAATAGTTTGCAACATATATGTATATATATATATGTTAGAGAAAAATCTTCTTGAAGATATTTTCAGGATACATGTTTCTTTTCTTTTCTGAAAGTTTTTTGCATTGTCAGTTAGAATTCTATATAATCTGCTTATAGCGAATTGAAGTAAAACTGACTGAATATAATTCATGGATAATAGAAAGCGGATATCTAATATGAGAGAGCTAATTTGAACATCGGAAAACCGATATTTCGAGTACGAGGAATCTCTGACACGAAGTATCAGCAATCGCCGTTATTGATGGCCGTTGTGTCTTAAACGCTCTCGACAATGCGACAATAAGCGTCTTTTCAACAGAAAAAGCTTGAGTTTGAGCTTTAGCGAAATCCAGAATCCAATAGAGAGGCTGACTTTCCGGTGCGAAATGACCGTTCATTTGCTAGTCCGAGAGCAGTTTTCCAACGATTTACGGATGCTCGTTTACGTAATATATGTAGCGAGATATGAGAGTCCGTTTGTAAGTTATACGGAAGTACAAAAATATATCTCTCGACAAGTGAAGTATAAGTGCACCTTTTCCGGGACAGTGCATTGCGTGTGTGCCTCACTTAAATGTAACTCATTCGTTCAAATATAAGAAAGTCATTTTTTAAGAGAACATGATAAAAAATATAATAATTGTATTGTTAAGGTCGTCACGAATGTGCATAATTATTATACTTTTTACTATTTTTTCTTAAAAAATGACCTTATAAGAGTCGCCCAAATTCCTTTTAGAGGCCTCCATTTTAACCTGAAAGGAAGCTTTTCACAAAATTTCATCGAAATTAGAGGTAATTCCTTTTCGGAACTGCACTCAATTATATGCAGAAAGCTAGTAAATAAATAAATATTTTTTTTTGCAACAAAATATGCGCATTCAGATACCGAAAGAGATATAAATCAGAGAAATGTGGTTTTGAGATACAATTCTGCCAGGTGAAATCATTATCGCGGAGATAAGGTCCTTATATGTACAATATATTGTATGAAACGAAGAGAAAAAACATATTTTGAAGGATATGTAGATTTTTACGTAAAATGTTTCTCTCAAAACTACTTTTATAGTAGGATATCATTAGAAGCGGTAGAAAAATTCTTTTTTTTTTTTATCTGTTAAAGTTCGTTAAAACTCTTTATAAGAGAAAAGTCCAAATAATTCACATACATATAACTTTTTAATATAACAAAAACCAAGAAGAAAACTGATGTACACTGTGGAACAATTAAGTTTCGAGACTTTCGTATAAAAAATTTATTTTTAATCATACAAATCTTAGACAGTTAAAAAGTTTCATTGTAGTCACCACCTAACTTGACACACTTAGTTCAACGTCTCTGCCATTGCTCAAAGCAGTTCTAATAGCTCTCTGAAGCAAGCTCTTTCAAAATTTGATTCACGTTTTTTTTTTATGTTATCTGTATCTTTGAAACATTACTCTTATGCATAGCTGACTCTCCGTAGGCTTATTGAATCATTTGTAACGTTTCTGTTGACGACTTCTCTAATTTAACGCAGAATTTAATGTTGGCACTTTGCCAAGCGTTCCTTCCATTACACCGATTTTTAATCAAAATTTTGTAACTCAATTTCGTGTGATTGTATCTCATTAACTATTGAACCAAATAATGTAAAACTTGCATCACGTGTTGAGTATTGAATTGTGAATAACTCCCTAAAATGGCACAAACGGATCAAACGTTCGAAAATGCGAAGCGAATCTCGAATTTTCGAAACTTAATTGTTCGACAGTGTATATATAAAAGGATTTTTATAGCTTAAGTTCTATTATTTAAAAAATACAAAGAATAAATTTCTAAAATAATACATTTCTAAATATTTTTTTGTAAATTCTCGACATTTCGTCAAAATTTCATGAACCACTATATACTACGTTAAAAAATTAATTTTTATTATTGATTTGTACAATTATTTATGCGAGAAAAAAATCTACTGTCAATAACTCTCGATACCGCATGCAATCATCGCTTTATAAGAATGAATTACATCGGTAGTTTCATCAGCGGGAAAATAAAACCTTTATACGGGATTCAGTACTAGCACGCCAAAATTACCCCCGATTATCGCGGAAATAAATTAACACGAATTTAGAAGATGCAAGATAAAGAGGAATGTCTGCGGAAATTGTCGCAACGTGTTATCCATGAAGTTTATTTTGAGTAAGCGACCTAGAATAATCTTGCGCGCGGATTGCGTTTTACGAGATCGAGAAAAGTCGGAGGAAAAATAAACAATTTTATTGCCTCGTCTCGTACCATGGAGGGTGAACACGAGAGGAAAAATGCGCAGCGAGCTATGAAACCATTTGAAAAGCTTCCCAATGGATTTTTATGAACTGAGCGATCGAAACGAATAGTCATAAATGATGGCAAATTATCTTTCTTAGGATTATTTATAAACGTGAATATTTGTAATATCATCCTTTTATTAATGTGACACAAGCTTAACACACACACACACACACAATGGAATTCTTCTAATATTTTTAACAAACTGTTATTACCATATTTAAAAATAATAATATATAATAATAATATATTTATATAGTATGGTTAATAATAATATGTTATTACCATTCTTCAACTCAAATAAGCTTTGATATAATATATAAATTATTCATGAATATAATATTGACATTTAATTTCTATAGGAAACATTGTACAATCTAATTTATGTATTTAACTGTGCTGTTTTACATATTAGTTTGCAGTTTTAATGATCGGCAGCTATGCTGCGGAAACAGATTCGATTATTGATCGCTGACAAAATAATGTCACTTGATAAAAATATTACCAAAATAATAAAAATTTCTTAATAGGAATATTAGTTTTGATAAAGCATTTTTTCGTTGCATGTTATTGTTAAGCCGCCTAGGCAAGAAGACGGAAAGAAGCATAGAAAATAAATGCCAAAGAGAAAGAGCGTATCGTAAAATCGAGAAGGAACTTTCTACGTGCATTTACGGCTCAGACATTTTATTGCAAATGTAAAATAATGTGCAAGTTGGTTGTTCAAAATTTACGACAGAAAAGAGTATATCGATAATGCAATGTAAAATAATGTTAGATATTATTTATGTATAAATATTGATTTTTTAAAAAATATAATATCAAATGCTTCTTAAAAAAATATAGTATGGGACAATCCTTTTTCAGCTAACAAATTAGTAGTAACGCAATTTCTTCGAGTTTCTTTAAATTTTGCATATCGACATTTGCAATAAAATACACACACGTGTCATATAATCTTTTACGATAACTTATATAATTTATATAGGCCGCAGCATAAAACACACATAAAAATGTTTGGCTTGTATCTTGGATGTGAATCGATTATCATGAAAATGGCTTGAGCAGAGCCAAAATATTTTACGGCGTGACAAAACACATAGATGTTCATTAATTATTAATACATGTTCATTAATTTTACTTTTACACAAAACATTTCAAGTATCAAAGTAATAAAGAAGGAAAAACATACAAATAATTTAATAATATAATATTCGAAACTTATTCCAAATTTTTTGTCGATTCTTCTTTATTGCAAAATTTGTATTCTTTTACTTTCTTTTTAAAGTACGAGTATTTTTTTTTGTTTAATTACAAAAAAAAGTGAAAGAAGTATGTTCATCTAAATACGATAGAATGTAAGGGAAATTTTCATTAACTTTATTTAAGTTTACTGCAATTTAATTAATTCTCTGCCTCTATTATATCATGGTAATAAAATACATAATCCAAAGAAAGAAAAATTTTAATTAATTACTATTAGAGCTAAATGATTTTGCAAGATAGCTACGATACTATTATCCTAATGAAAATAGAACGGTAAATTCTTTTTTAAATTTTAAAGCTTTATTTTGAGATAGAAATTTATTGAAAATGGCGATAGAATTTCTGGATATCTTGATCAAATAAATAAGTATGTCAATCGTAAAAAAAATATAGCATATTCAATAAGTATTTTGTAAAAAAATTTAACATATTCGATAAGCACTTTGTCATATATTTCTTTTCTATGTTATAGAAAAATATATAAATCGTAGAATTTCTCGAAAATTCTGTAGCAGAAGACCGCAATAAAAAAAAAAAAAAAAAATACAAAAACAAATACAATCGAAGATATCAACTTTGACAAATTAAAAATCACAAAAGTCCATACAAAATGAATCTTTCGTTTTTGCGTAAAAACAGGCTCGAGTTAGTATTTTCCGTATATTTTCACGTTTCATGCATTTTCACATTTCATGTTTTAATATACCGGTTTCCATACACAAATTAAATACAGAGATTTAAAATATTTGCGCGATAAACGATATCTCCATTTAGAGTATGAAATTGTTTTATTTAACTTAACTCTATAATGAATTTTTTACCTGAAATATGAAAAAAGTTGGTCATGTACCGAACATTGGCAAACTAACGGTTCAGAAACAATGTATTTATTATTAACGTAAAGCTAAGAGAGAGAGAGAGAGACATTTTTTGAAATATTCTTCGATTCAGTATATTATGTGGATGGATATGAAATTATAAACGAATAAAATAAATTCATATTATATAAATAAACGGATCGGAAAATATCCTTGGATCGAAGTGAAATTGCTGTAACAGAACATTACTTAATCATAATATCCTCTTTAGGGATTATTCTTTTATCCTCTTTAGGGATAATTTCGTACTCCTATTATGATAGATTCTCTTTTCTCTCTTATCGTTATCATCTTGTGGTTAGATACGTACTTCGCCGTTCTCCGCACATGCTCTTAATCGATAGATTTTCTCTACGTATTGCTCCCCGGATGATCACATATCTGTTACTGTCGAATTGGAGATTCAAGACACATAAATTTCGGAAAAATAGCGCGAGCAAAGCCGCAGATCAATAACTAAAATACAAGCTTTAAAAACGACATTTATAAAATCTAGCTGCGCAATCAGAATTTACAATAATTATGAATATTAATTCATATTTGCATTGAATTTGTTTCAGGGAAATGGTGACATCGACCGGATCCAGAACTTGATGATCGAAATAATGAGATCGGAATCCGAGCGTTGTAATCACGGAAATATATCGGAGCCAGGTAAGCAGAATGGTATTTAGATAATATTTCTGGAAAACGATGTTCGAAATATTGCCACGTGTTAAATGCTATTGATATTTCAAGAGATAAAGAGGGAACTATTACGTATCGCTAACACAATTAAGCATTCATTTATTAAAACTTATCATCATATGCACGAATGATCTTAAATTACCGTATTAGCTGTCTGCTTCGTATTACCGTATTAGCTGTCTGCTTCGTCATTTATAATCATTTCATTTGCATGTATTCCGATCTCTTCTCCTGTCGTTCCTATATTACGTAAAATTATGATTTATCATTAGATATCACATACGACGTTTCAATTAATTTTACTGTATTAGTCGTAGATAAATACAGAATAAGCAAACTACATGTAATTATAAAGGAAATATAATAGAACGAGATGCAATCAAATACAATACAAATATGTTATTACCATTGGCAATAGAATTATAAATAATTATATTAATTTTCAATTATATATATTTAATAACCAGGTACACTCTCTCTCAATTAACGATATCTATTTCTTATGATATTTGCGTTTATTTAATTTAAATTAATTTGGATTGACAATGATTGGACAATGATTGGATCAACATCGCATATAAAGTTTAAAGTTTATTTAAAAACATAGATTATTTTCGTTTGATTAAGAGAGAGAAACTATTTATATAAATTAATTTAATATTATTTTGGGGCAAATTTTCATATTTTTAGAAGACTTTCTTTAAAATTTGTAATTTTTTAATTGCAGTTTATTAAATAATATATATGGCGTAAGAAAATATTTGTAATATTCTAGTCGTATAAATTGCACGATGTATCGATTTATCAAAATCTTTCGATAATATTTTTGCAACATGAGTCAAAAATTGAGAGAGAGTTTAAAATCTTTCCTTCTACTTTTATCGCATTACAGTCGCAAGTTCAAGTTGTATTTTGGCTCTTCTTTTCAAGAGACAAAATAATATGTGCCATCCTCGAAAACATTGGATGATCAATTTGTGTCAACAATTGGAAGCGAACATTCACGAGCGATAAATTTGCATAATGCAGAGACTGGAAAGACCGAGATATGATGCATATACGCAACGCATGGACTAATGTCAAGCGTTCACACGTGTCGCCGCTCGCATTTTGCGTTTTCGCATGTGTACACATGTTCGTGAATAAACAGTGCTTATAGAATGTCTCCGGAGCAATTAATGTCACAATTAATCTCACAGCACGATGCCGGCTTATTTAAGCAACTCGAGCAAAATCAGACAGGGAACCAATATACCGCCATTAATTACACAAGCGACATTCGATTGCGAAACCAAACGAATTTCACGGTTTGTTTATTGACACCTTCGTACAATAGAAAGTTATATACATATAGCTTTGTCGCTATATAATATGTTTATGAAAGAATATGATTTATAAGCGCTCAATAGATATGAAAGATATTTAAATTACGTTCTCCCAAGTGAAATAATTGAAAATTTAGTCTGAACAGAATCTGTAAGTTCTAAAAATAAAAATCTCGAAACAAAATATGCTTCCTTAGGTGCTTTATTTATTCTCGCGCTAATACTTGGACGCGATTTTATCCAGGTTGGTGCCCCGAAATTTGGGACGAGATATTATGTTGGAATTCGACGGCACCAGGACAGTTGGCGATTCAATACTGTCCCTCTTACATCATGGGTTTCGAGCCTAGTGTATGTATAGTTACGCTTCACGATTGTATCAAATATAACTATAGAGTTGATTCGTGTAATAGCTTTTTTGGAATCAATACTTTACGTATATAAAATTTTGCCGTTGAATTATATATGTATATATACAGGGTGTTTCAGGTTTTTTCCGCCAAACTGTGCATGTTTTACTAGTAGAAATAAGAAAAAAATGTTATATAAACATAGGCTTACAAATGCTTTATTAAAAAGTTATAACAATGGAGATGAAAGAAAATCGACACGAAATTTATATGGTGATAAATTTAATTTTTCAGCGATGTGAGTCTTGTATTGAAAACAATGGTGGATATTTTGAAATGGAACAATAATAGTAAACACAATAAATCATCGTTACATAGTACCATATTAATAATAAGAATTCCAGTTATAGAATTTTTGTTATAACTTTTTAATAAAGCATTTGTAAGTCTATGTTTATATAACATTTTTTTCTTATTTCTACTCGCAAAACATACTGGCACAGTTTGGCGGAAAAAACCTGAAACACCCTGTATACATGCACATAACGTATACATATATACATGTATATTGAACGGATGAATTTTAATGACCGAAACGGATTAATATCTCTTTCTCGTTTATAAGTAAATAAATAAATATCGAAGAAACTTAATTAGTTTAGTTCCTCGGTTTAACAAGTCTTACGTTCTGACATAAAATATTCGCTGATCGATCGGTGAAATCCATTTTTCAGACCTAACTGATTGAGATGCTTCCAGCGTCAAAGTTTTCCAACATATCCAAACACTTCTTTGACGAATTCGAATTCCATTTCTCCTTAAGCAGAACTTTATTTCGTTCGATCTATAATATTTTTCAGCGCTCGAGCTGTAAACATCTCTACAGTTGAAATCAGTGAATTGTAAAATTTTACTGAAGTAAACTCAATTGATATTAAATTGAAATAATCCTCTGTCACAAGCAACAAACTCGTTTGTAGCTTGAAAAATAACGTATCTTGATACTTTTGTTAAGCTAAAAGTTAGATAACAAACGCATTTTTTTTTCAGGCACTCGCGTCGAAGCAATGCATGCCAAATGGGCAGTGGTACATGAATGCCAACACCCATACGTGGAGTAATTACACCCAGTGTTATGAAGGAGGATTGGTCACTGTTCTGGTGAACATATCGGACGTACAGGCGAATAACGTCACTTTCATTAAGGTAAACAGATGTAAGAAGAGCAGCATCGATAAATGATTAGAATTTTGATGAACTCTCTTGTTAGAACATCTTTAGGTAATCATATATGTAATTTATCGATCGAAGGAATAAATTTGCTATACGGAAAACGGCGGAGATGAAGAGATCAATTGGAATTGATCACACAGTGACATGACGTCAGTCACTCTACTCACAAGGAAATGAGTGCTGTAAATGACGTTCTGTCCACCTAGGTGGGCTTCACATAGTCTTGGGCATCCAAGACGTTGTCGTGAAATTAGTTTCCAGTCTTGGACGATAATGAAACGAGCGAGCACACAAATGAGTCAATAGCTATGTTAATAGTATTATCAAGAGAAATGGGTGGAAAATGTTAAAAAGAATTTTTTTCAAGACCTTTTGCGCTGAATTTTAAAGCCGATAGTCAGGTTTTGCTTCGTCATATAGCGCACCGTTGCAATGGCAGCTTCAGAGAATTAAAACGAGTTATTTTTTGAGAAATCATCAATTTCTCTTTCCATTAACTTTTCGATCTGTGATATTTAATTTAGTATCTATTAAAGACAAAGTAGAGAAAATAATAAAGAAAATAATTTCTCTTCAAAATTTTAGACGTATTGATTAAAATTAAGCTCGATATGTCACATATATTTAAAATGACATTTGAAATCTAAATTAGCAATTTTATGCGAAATTTATCGAATAAAAAAGCAAGTGTTGGCGTATTTATTGCAATTTTAATACGAACTAATACAATTAAAGTATCGTATTCTGTGCGTAAAACGACTTTAAAAATTACATAACAAAGAGTTTTCGTAGAATGATGGCGAAATCGTAATATAATGGGAAATAATCGTTTTAAGCATCGTAAGTACTGCGGATATAAAAGCAAATAAAGAAAGCGAATCCGGAATGAAGTAAAGAATGTCATTAATGAAGAATTAAGTAGAAAAGGATGTAATAGAGAAAACTAGAAGGGTTCATGGACCATTAATTAAACGTAATTTAAAACTTTCTAACGTACCTTGAATAGAGATCATATTTATGACAGCATTGTTTTACAAAGTATTATTTAAGGGGGCATCGATTGCTAGATAAAATTACTTCAAAGCGATACTTACTCTTAAGTATAAATCGATTTATTCTGCTATTTAACCTGCTATTAATAACCTCTAAAAATTATGAATATTTATAATTAATAATACGATTTTATGCAGAAAAATCACATTTTAATTATTGATATAATATTATAATTAACCGCTACCACACGCGTTGATACTTAATTATTTTAATAATTAAAATTGTAAGCAAATAATAAGTAATTAGTAATTAATTACTTTTCTTTAAAATGCAATTATAGAAATTCATCCCGATCGTAAAGACCATCTCGAAACTCGGCTACACAATTTCGTTATTCACTCTCATCATCGCGTTTTGCATTTTGGCGACTATCAAGTAAGTATAATTATGTAAATATAATCTTAGCGCATGTGATTATAACGAGGCGCCTCGCTTTATATATTTTTAACAGGCACGTTTCAAGTTTATAACTAAAAAAACAATGGTCTAACATTTTTTTTTGAGTGTTTTAAAGAGAATATTTTTCTTTTATTTCTTTATTCGTTTAATATATCATATTACAAAAAAGATGTTTTAATATCGAAATTGGCGATTGGAAAAGAGTAATAACTTTGATCGTGTTTAAATTGATTGTGATAAGAAAATAAAGAGATAGATGAATACACTACATGAGACTATTAGGCAGAAAAATAGAAAGTAAAAAATATTTTTAAGATATAAATAAACAATATTACATTTTTTACGATTTATACAAAGAATATTAATTTTATAAAGATTTGTGTTGGAAAAAGAATCCAGACTTGCAGCTGAGCGAAAATTAAAATCGGCGAACAAAAGTTATTTTTACTTTTCCGGAAGGGCTTCTTCGTGGCGGTATTGTATTGTTTTCTGAACGGTGAAGTGAGGATTGAGGTGTCCAGGACGCTTCGCAGCATTAAGTGGACGCACGGAATACGATGGGATTCGCGACCATCAACGCACTCAGTTAGCACATGCAGCTGTAACAATGTCTCAAAGTCTGGCGGTCGACACTCAAGGAAACCCAAGTGGTGGAAGTCGCGCTGGAAAGCAAACCCCTGTCTGTTCCATGATCGCAAAAAAACAATGGTCTAACATTTTTTTTGAGTGTTTTAAAGAGAATATTTTTCTTTTATTTCTTTATTCGTTTAATATATCATATTACAAAAAAGATGTTTTAATATCGAAATTGGCGATTGGAAAAGAGTAATAACTTTGATCGTGTTTAAATTGATTTAATTGCAAACCCCTGGAAGACTCCGTCAGGATTTAATTAATTTAAAATCAGAGTCAGATTGTGTGTCTCACGGCGCCACATATAATTTTGCACATTTTAATCGAAACGGAATTCGCGTTGCCACGTTCAAGTTTGTCTCCCATCGGACGTAGGAAATTGCGATGCTCACGGAACATATTGCACATGCATCTGTTCGTCTCATTCGTGATGCGAGCATTTATGGCGCTACTCAAGGACCTGCTCTTCGTGTCCGGCATCGGACTATCGGATGCCGTGATCGAGAACGATGAAGGTTACTGGCTGATCAACGAGAAGGAAAGCAACTGGCATTGCAAGATATTCACTAGTCTCTGGCAATACTTTCTCCTGGCCAACTATTCCTGGATCCTGATGGAGGGTATATATCTACACAATCTGATCTTTCTGGCACTCTTCACTGACGCCAACTCTAGCATCGCGACCTACGTCGTTTTCGGATGGGGTAAGTAAAATTAATCTCAAGAAATTATCATTAATTCTAGAAGGATTTCTGAAATCTCAATCAATCTTATATATTTCCAGATTGATTATGACTTATTTTGTTTTTATTAACTATCTTGCAGCTATATAAGAAAAATTGAAATATATTTAAATATAAAATACTTCATATATTATCTCTTAACAGATTTTATATAAATATATATATATGTGTATGTGTATACATATCTTGAGTGTGTTGTTATGTCTTAAAGAAATTTAATATAAATTTTTTTTTACTGAATAAAAATAATCCAAATTTTTAATTAATCTAAAATTTGATTCTCAAAATTAAGATATTTTATATACACTTATTAAGACCGTTTAATTATAATCAAAACGTTTAATTTAGCTTTTTTTGCAATATAGTCTATCTCTTTAACATTAAAAGATTAAAAAAGACGGGGGTTATATTTTCACTAACGAAAATGGTGCTGAATTACAAGTATAATAAAAAGCGAAATATAAATCTGTTTCAAGTATAGTATATCTCTTTGAAATATTGCTCGTCTTTGACAGAGCAAAAGATAATAGGATTTCCTACAAGAAAATTCTACGATTTTCAGAGATTCTCAAGAGTGATCGAAAATCACGACACACATAGTTTTGCATGAAATATAACATCGTATCGACTGCTGTATCTCCGAAGGTGACATAGTGATGCAAACAACAGTAATGGCATATATCACTTCAAGTTGTAGTCTATTCTATTATACACATATTCCAAACCAGTATTACATCAATTTCCATTGATCATTTCAGACACATTTCTATATTTCTGATATTTCTTTTCACTTTATTATTTTAAAGTCATTAATTTTTAATTTTTAAGTTAGTACTTGTGAAAAATATATTTTTATTTTCTATAAACATGAAATTTATTCATTTACCGGAAAAAAACTTTGCATCAGATTATTCATTTTTGCTTGAAGGAACCTGTTATTAATAAATGCAATGGATCGCTTTGATAAATTTGTCTCTGCGCGTACAATCGTCACAACTTCGTCTTTCAGGCCTGCCAGCTGTATTTATTTTACCCTGGGTAGTCACAAGGATCATATACGAGGATACGTATTGCTGGACGACCAACGTGAAGCCTCTCTTGTTTCTCTTCATACGAGTACCTACGATGCTCTCTATTTTGGTAAGCATCTTACGAATGCCAGAAAGAGGCTCGTTGAGCCATAATTAATTCAGTCGCAAATAAATTCGTCGCTTCTCTCCGCTCACGTCAGATAAATTTCGTGCTCTTCATCAACATCGTGAGAGTGCTGCTGGTAAAACTCAAGTCCACCTTGTCGGAGGAAACGCAAAGATACAAGTAAGCTTTATGTGAAAAGTCATATGTTCAGTGTACATTATAATCTATCATAATCTCATTTTTTCTTATAGAATTTTTAATGAAAAATGGGACACATATACGTCAACTTAGTTTATATAAAATTTTAGTATATTTAACTATACGTATATATATTTAATATGCCCCTATGTATGTGTGCATTTAGACGGTGGGCTAGAAGTACATTAGTCTTGGTGCCACTCTTCGGAGTTCACTACGCCTTCTTTATCGGGATGTCATACAGCGTCGGCGTAAACGAGACCGTAGAGATCGTATGGCTCTTCTGCGACCAGCTGTTTGCGTCTTTTCAGGTATATAATACGCTATTAATAATTATTAATAGCTAATCTACTTTATACGAAACACCAAACTGTTTTAAAGCCGCAAGAGCTCTTAGCGAACCTCTTAATGACCGCCGCATCTTAACTAGATGAAAAATGTTATGCAAAAATTAATTCACTAGTAACCTCTCTCTCTACAAAACTTCCACAATTGTATTATATACTGAGCTGTCAATAAGAAATTTTATATTTTAAACTTGATTTCCTTAAAAGCTCTGTTTGTTGGATTTACGCAACTTTATGTCATTCAGCCTTAAACAGCGAAACTAAAATAGAAACGAATAAATGGCGAAGCCTGGGTTTTTTTAGATCCATAACAAAATATTTCTCTGTTATAATGTTTATTGTACAAAATAACTTTTCTTTATTAAATTTAAAGAAATTTTACATTGCATTCTTAAAATTTTTTCTTTAAAAAATAATAAAATTAATTTATTAAAAAAATTATGATAAGAAAATAAAGAGATAGATGAATACACTACATGAGACTATTAGGCGAAAAAATAGAAAGTAAAAAATATTTTTAAGATATAAATAAACAATATTACATTTTTTACGATTTATACAAAGAATATTAATTTTATAAAGATTTGTGTTGGAAAAAGAATCCAGACTTGCAGCTGAGCGAAAATTAAAATCGGCGAACAAAAGTTATTTTTACTTTTCCGGAAGGGCTTCTTCGTGGCGGTATTGTATTGTTTTCTGAACGGTGAAGTGAGGATTGAGGTGTCCAGGACGCTTCGCAGCATTAAGTGGACGCACGGAATACGATGGGATTCGCGACCATCAACGCACTCAGTTAGCACATGCAGCTGTAACAATGTCTCAAAGTCTGGCGGTCGACACTCAAGGAAACCCAAGTGGTGGAAGTCGCGCTGGAAAGCAAACCCCTGTCTGTTCCATGATCGCGCTATCCGTCAATCCACCCACTCGATGGCGAGTACACAAGGTGTCCCCTTAAATCCTACGAAACGTCATGTCCCCCGTCTCGTATGTCTCGTCCTTGTCAAGTCTACCGTGCTTAATGTTTCATTGTTTCACTGCTTGATTTTACTTTGATCTTTCTTTATCTTGATTCCATTAATAGATAATTAATAAATCAAACAAAAGCCTACATTGCAGATTAAATCGCTACTTAAAAATTTCGGAGAATCATCAAAATACTTTGGATACAATCTTTCTATTTAAAGAATTCGAGTAAAATTAAAATAATTAATCAAGTCTAAAAAATTCATCCAACTAAGTCGCTTTTGATATAAAATGTTGAGAAGAGTTTGACGTTCGAGTTTAAAGACTGAGATTAAATTTGAAGTCAAAGTTAAGATCGATCGTTATTAAACGAGGCAGTAAAAGGCTTACGGAATTTCTCGCATGCGAATCTACGCAATGCAATGTACATGGCGCGATTTACGTAGTGAAATTTTATAGACGTTAGAACGAGAGGATGTAGTTTAGCGAGCAACAAAGACTACCTGGAGATGGCCGGTAACGGCCAGGTACTGCAGCCGACGATGCAAGATCAACATGCTCATCATACATGGCCACTGTGCAGCAAATATACGGATCAATCGCTACTCTCTTTCTATTCAAACGTGAGTGTGTTTTACGCGAGTATCTGTGCCAGATCTCCTAAATAATTCTTTAATATAGTTGCCGATAAATGTTTTTGATCTTTTTTTTCATTGCGCTGTAATATCTAGTCTAAATTTTATATCAGTGTCATTTTTAATATTGTTACAGTCGCGCGATGAATACAAAATTGAACGAAAAATTAAGCTATATAAATAAATAATTAATTCCGAAAGTATAAATTTTTTTTAAAGGATTGCAAAAAATATTTTGTTTGGGAAAAGAAAATTTCTACTAATTATATCAAACGAAAACCTGTATATACTATTATTTATATAATTTTATATAAACGTTAATGTTCCGTAATCAATTTAGTATCAAATTTTTCTACAATAATTAATGTAATATACTATCATTATATACTTATATAGTAATTATATGCTGAACATACTAAAATATTTAAAATTTATATTTTGATATAATATTGAAATAGAAATGGATGATGTATAATGTACATTTATTAATCGCTTCCCAAAATTTACTGCATGAAGAGATGTGATTTTTTTTGAAACAATGGAAAATTTCTCGTTATTGGGAAATTGGATTTTTGCATTAGCAAACGATTTTTTTTCTTAGATGTCGGATACATTGGGGCCAAATATCGACAAAATCCGTGATCAGCATCGTTGGAGCGATTCAGAATGCTACCATCTCGCATACGAATTGCATAAACTACAGCAGCATCATGGACACCAATGACAAGACTTGGATTAATTCATATATATAGAAGAAAACGTATGTCCTGTAAATGTACAATACGCATAATCTAAACGCGTATATATTATTCTTGAAAGAAAATAAAACTAAAGATATTTAAATCTGATATAATTTTTATACAAAAGAGAGAAAAAAAGAATTATTTATTTTGTATCTCTTGAAAGAAAGAAGAAATAGAAGAAAAATTTTATTTGTGTTTTTTTTTCTTACAGTAGTTTTTACATATTATAAATGGAGATTAAATTTTTTGTTAATTCTTCTTTTACAGGAACATATTGTGTTGTTTATATATAATCGTCCATGTCGTAAATTTTAATTCGCAGTAAGCATAAATATATATGTATAATAATGATGTGTGTGTACAGAAAATCGATGTTCGATATTTTACTATTTTAGAGATTCGTTGAAATGTACTAGAATATATTCGATAAAGTATCTCGTCGATATACCTCAACGTTTTGAAATTCAATACGCCACTTATTATTGTTGTACGAGCTCAACTCACGAAAATGTTAAACGTCCATTATTCACAACGATTTCTATGCACACTATGACAAATAAATAAAAGCAGCTTATTAAATTTGTGAGTATTATATCGTCATGAGTCAAATATATATCTGTTATCAATTATTCTATTCGTATAACTTCTTTATACATAACAAAATACTAAACTTTGCATGACTAGGATGTTTTTAAAAGAGAATACTCCTTATTTTTAATTATTAAGAAAATTATTTTTTACATCTTATAGANNNNATATGTATATAATCATTTGTCATTCATTATTTATCAGTTATGTAAATGATATCAGCATCATTTCCTTTTTAAGCTGACAAAATACCCCATTACTTGGAATACCTAAGAAAATCTTACTCTCTCAACAAATTCTAGTTTTTAAATATATATGTATAAAAATAAATGTGCTTGAAAATTCCTTATTAAATAAAGCATTGATAACACTATGTATTGTGAAATGTTATTAGTTTTAAAATAAGAATATTTTGTTTCAAAAATAAACATTTAGTTACACATTTTACCTCATGAGCTCTCTCACATGAATGTAATTGTGTATAGATATATATATTACACATATACATATTTGTATTAAAATCAGCGATGCATGTTTGACGACAGACTTACATACATCAATTTAATGTCAATTATGACACATTAAAATAAAAAAATAAAAAAAAATTAATGCATTTTTTTTACATTTCCTTGTAATCATTTAATACATTGAAATATAAATTATATTGTATATACAGAACGTATATTTTATGCATATTTATATTTGTAATATTAATATATGCACAAGTTTTCTGTGGTGCAATATCGACATAAAAACTATACATAGGAATGTTGCAACACTTATAACACTCCTTTAATTGGCAATGATGGCAGCCAAGAAGAAGAATCATCTTGTAATTGGTCATACTTTAATTTGTTAACAAGAATACTAGTCATAATCTTATCTACATCATGCGTTTGTCCATAATAATCAACAAACAAGCCTTCTGGATCCACTAAATATATAATAATCGTATGATCCACCTAAAAAAAGAAATAGAGTGTTGCAAAGTATATAATATTACTAAATTGTTTGTAATTTATTATATACTAACAATATAATCATTATCTTGGTCTTTAGGGCCGTTACTATAATAAACTCTGTACGCTTTGCACACTTTTCCAATTTGTTCAACATTGCCAGTAAGACCAATAATCTTATCAGAGAATTCTTTGAGGTACTTTCCAACAACAGTGGGTGTATCTCTATCTGGATCAACTGATATGAAAATTGGTTGTATTTTGAAATTGTGTTCTATTTCTGTAAATAAAAATAATATATTCTGTAAATAAGAGAGGTATAATGATACAAGAGTAAGAAAATTTTCTCTAATTGGTATAATCTGAAATTTTTCAAATAATTGCTTACCAAGTCTATTTATTACTTTTGTCATCTTTTCAATTTCATCGGGGCAAACATCAGGACAATGTGTAAATCCAAAATATATCAACACCCATTGGCCTAAGAAATCATCGGACTTCACTGTTTTTCCCTCTGTATTTACTAACTCAAATTTACCACCAATTTTAGCTTTGCCCAACTGTTGCCTTCTTTCCCGTGCTATTCTTTTATCTTTTTCTTTTCTCAAATAATTTATATATAATAAAAGACCACCACCAATGATGCTGGAAATTGCCAAACTTTTCCATGTAATTGGTGATTTCTTTTTTATTTTTTTAGGATCCTTTGGAAAAATGGATTGTTCACACAATGCTTTCGATGTATTTATATACCTAAACTATATAAAAAGAAAACTATTAATTAAATCTCCAAACGTCCCTTTCAGTAAAAGACTGTATTAAATACGTTAATAATTAATAAAATTAAATTGAGAAAGTAATAAGATTGCATGTAAACAACAGATTCTACATACAATATATTAATAATCAAATAATCATATATGTTATTCGCAATTGAAGATATATGTCACATAACATTCTAATTTTGTCTCATGACATTTCAATAAAAAATAATAAAACTCATTTTCCTAGTACAAAAATAAACAAGAGAAATTTATAGGTTACTAGTTTGCATATAATAAGTTGCATATAATACAAAATATTTTCACTATATTAGATTGTCAATGTGTATTAACAGGTTTTTCAAGGAAGATTACCTTCGCTAAAACATTACTGGAACTCTTATTTAATGACACAAGAGATCTTAATATTAATGTCGACATTGTTTCACCGACAAAAACTCAATCAGTCCAATCTTTCACCTGAGAAGTCTGAGAGGGACCACGTGAGACCGTTTTCCTAACTGGTACAGTGGCGCTAACTGAATTCATTTTAAAATCGGCGGAACTACATGGCCAGAGATGCCATGGTAAAACGACCGGTTGGTGCATGTCCGTGCTAAACACATTGTGGATCAAAAATGCGGAGAAATATTATGAATTTATTAATGTTTTATTATATATAGCTACACGCGCGCGTGATGTTTTGTCATTCTAGTAAATTAAATAAATTTATATAAGCATAATTAATTATGTTTTCCTATAGTTTTAACCGTGTTCTATTGTTTTTTAAGTAGGTTTAATTATTGACAACTTTAATTAATTTTTTCACGTTTATATGATCACCGGTGATACTATCAGTTGTCAAATTTTCGCAGTGTCATAAAATGTCAAAAAATCGCGATATTTTGTGCAATATTATTTTTTAGCGTATAAAATGTTAAGAGCTTTTTCTATCTTGTGGAATTCCATTCAGAATTTTAATTAAAAGGCCGTAAATGCGAAAATAATACTTTTCTCAGGACATTTAGATATGTATTTATATGACATTAATTTAAAAAACGACTGAAAATCCCTTTTCTCTATTATTATCTTTTTCACTTTCATTTTATTTAAAAATATTCACGATGAAGATTGTTTCGACTACTTGCCGGTACGAACCAGGCAATTTTATTAACGTTTACCTGACGAGAGGGACAGCGATCGCGTTCAAGAATGAAAAGAACAGAAAGAACGCGGAAAGAACGCGGAAAAGAATGCTGAAAAGAACGCGGAAAACGCGGAAGAAACATGGTGTTTTCGCAATGTAATTTATTAATTTATTTTACGAATATTGGATTCCGATACAGAATTCGTAAATACATTAATCTCTAATTGAAAATAAATCATAAAATTCGTAATAATTTACTCGTGATTTTGCAATATCGAAGATGATCGTTAAATTTCGTGAATAAGAAGGTAATATTTAACCGTTAGTTTAATCGAATCTTCACACTCTTATTCGATCGCGTTTAGGAAATTTAACGGAGTATCTTGCACTGCTACTTTATTGCTCGAGTGTCGTTGTGCGAATAATAACATGTAGGAAAGGAATTTGAGCGTCTTGCCCCACTACAGTTCTATTCAAGTTTTGTTGTATGAACCCGTAAAGATCGCAACAAAACAATAATTTATAATTTAGATTTCTGTCACTTCGATTCTTACTTTGAGAAAGACTCTTGCATTTTACCGGTTTGAGAATAATTTTAATGGATTAATGAAATTTTTATGATTAAAATGACATCAAATACGATATAATCCGAATAATTTTTACTTAGATAAGGAATATAATTTTTTATCTGATTTTTAAATTTGTATCTAATTAAAATTTATCCGAATAATGTCGCGTTTTTTTTGTCGTTTCATTTGCAGAAATCTTATTAATCAAATAAAATTGCATTCAAAAATATAAGGAATATAAAAATTTTATAAATGTTTTTATATATTCAATAAATGCACTCCATTATAGACACTATTTTTACTCCGAAGCGTTTGGTGGACAAATGAGGGTAAAGAATCTTGTTCTTTGAGCGAAAATAGCGTTAGCGTATCTATTGTTATGTTTATTTTCAAAAGATTTATAGTATTAATAATCTTATCATCTTAATTACTGTACTTATACATAAATTATGCTTATATAAATTTATACACATATAATAGCTTTTAATGTGCATCAGTGCGCACTAGTGCATCCAACTGAATTTATAAATTAAAAAATTACTTAAATAATATAATTAATAATAAATTATTAATTAATTATAAAAAGCTATATAAATTAAAAGCATAATAATTTCCTATACAGCACAGATCATTGCAATCATATTGCAGCAACATTGCAATGTTGCAAATTGCAATGCAATATTACAAAGACATTGCAGAAATATAGAGCCACAAAGTACCAGCACACTTGTAGCAACATGACATTAATATTTCGGAAATATTGCAAAATTCAATTTTTATATAATTTTAATAATAAAATATTATAATAAAATAATTTTTTGCAATATTTCTACATGAAAGATGTTAACGATAAACAATACTAAATGGTTCATTTTATTAAAACATTTTTCTTAAATTGGCTTATATTGCTGCACTGTATGCTTTGCGCAGCACATGTACGCGTTCGCAATTGTGTGCGTGTGTAGTAGGCGCCGGTCTTGCTGCACATATCTGTGATTGTCGTGTATTTCGTGATTAACATTTTTTATTGTTGCGTACGAGAAAAGGTAAGAACTTTTTGATAATATTATGTTTTATTATAGCAACCTATATATATTATGTATTAATTAATCATAATAGAATAGCATGTCCTAAGGTTAATAACCTAGGTTAATAACCTTAAAATTATTGAGATCGCAAAAGTAAAAATTATATTTATCTATGATATATGTTCGTATATTTTTTATGTGGATATTTTTTGCTTTCTCTAATTTTCTATTTTGCTGTAGATATGAACTTTAAAATATTTGATAAAAATATTTATGTATATTTGCAGTATGTATATTTTTATGCAAATATGAATTTTAACTCCTATTTTATTTTTACAGACATTTAACAAAGGAAAACAATAATGGACAAAATTCAATAAATTATTAATGGTAATAAAAGCGCCGCGTAAAGCTGAACCATTTTTATATATATCTCTAATATAAAAAAAAATATATTTTTATTTCGTGAACATGTTAAGTGCAATAATATGTTATGTGCAATGTTATGTTATTTATAACGTTAACATAAGTACAAATAAAGACATTTAATTACAATGTATCGTCAATAATTACACATTTATATACCCAAAAATAAATATATATACATCATTGCAAATTCATTACATTGCAATATTGCTACAATATTTTGATGCAATATTCCTAAAAGCGGACATTTTATCATTGCTGCAATTCCACAGCAATGATACAGCAACATTTTGCAGTGAATTTGCAAAGTTGCAATATTGCGGTGAAAGATTGCTACAATATGTATGCAATCTTTGTGTGCTGTATGGGATCCAATCGAATTCGCTATTAGCAAATGATAATAAATTCGCGAATCTCTGCAGTGTAAATAGTCGAGTAAGAGCACATAAAAGCGTCTCGACGGAGACGCGCAGTATAGGAACGCAACGGCAGAGAAAGGTTTCGTTTGCGCAGACACGCGCGCGAAATTTGCGGGAGAGTGAATTTTTATCGCGACGTCGTAACGAGCGATGACATATCGGATGCGGCATTAGATTGCGCGCGATAATGTTCGGCGGTTATGTGTCTCTTTCGTGCGTTTTCCGAGCGATAAAGTCAAGCGCGAGACTCGCTCGCGAGAATCCTCCGACGTGACGGAGATAAAAGCGCGATCGTGCCGGGCGATTGTGACCTCCGGAGCGTTTCCAAATTTCAGAAACAACCTTGGATACACGATGTTAAAGTTTTTCGGTCGGCTGACTCAGAGTGCCGTCCTCGGAATCGAAGAACGTGACACAATCGTCTTCTCGGAGCTCGTCGCGCGATCAGGACTGACTCGAGACAAATCCGGGGCCCTGACTTTACGGAACGATCGGCACATTTTAAAGAAAGGAGAGACGTAGGGAATAGAGTGAAGAAATCGGGTCAGGGCTGTTCTTTTTCCAAATCCGAGCTATGCATGCTTCGATAGTTTTTTTTTTTTTGATAAAAATACAGATAGTAGATTAGTTCAAGAATAATATTTTTTATAGCGAAGGCGTTATCAGCTTATAAATGTAAAAAAAAAGTGATTAATATAAACTTTAATGCAACTATCTTAGACAGAAATTTCAAAAATCATTAGACATACGTTTTATTAATCTCTTTTTAATTATCTATATGTATACGTTTTACTATATATTTTTCAATTTCTTCAAGACTGCCGCATAAACTTTAATTACGGACGTTAATGATTCGCATTAATTAACGAGCGTGACGTATATGTCAGCAATATCGAATTAAAATTCGATTTTAGAATAACATCGTCTGAAAGATTGTCTAAATGGCCGCTCGGAGAGACGCAGCGACGTTCCGCTTCTGTACGCGCGTGTTCATCACGTGACGTCGCTCGAACATCGTCGAGGAGAGATAACTCTCGGACAGATTCGGGGCAGCTCGATCGCACCTCAGTGTTGTTGTTCGGGCCGGGATTTTTCGCGCATGCGTGGCAAACGCGGTACCAGTACAGTGCTTAGTTGGATAAAAAGGAGTACCATTAATCACCCGCGCAAAAATATCTAATAATTGTTCAAAATGTATGAGAAAAATATTAAATATTTAAATAAATAAATATATATATATATATTATAAATAAATTCTAAGCTGAAAAAGGGGAAAGAGGGTAATAAAATAATTAATTAAAAACACATTTTTATGCAAACGAAAATAAAATATTTTATTTTTGGCAGAATCTCATAGAATACCAACATTTGTTGCACGGGTAAGGAAAACTGCCAAAAACCTCACCAGTATTCATACAAAAATACAAAAAATAAAAATATTTATTTATAAAAATGAACATAAATAAAATTTATCAAATATAAAAACATTATCTTAAAATTATCCTCATGCAGCCATGCATTTTGAAAGTCTCTAACTTTCGGTCGTTTAATTGCTCCTTTTCTTTGCGCATGCATTATTTATAAATATACTTATCTACTCACCTTAACCTAGCCTGTCCTTCTTGCCGGGCCCGCCAAGACTTTCGCGCCCAAACACTACTACTCC